ATTTATATATAATAAAAAAAAGTTAAAAAATCTAACACATCTCATTTAATAGTGTATTGAAGTGTTAACTTACTTTAATGGATTAGTGAGTTAAAATTGGTAGGTTAACAAGTTATTCCACCTTTAACCCATCCAATTTAAAAAAAAAAAACAATTGAAATATTACAATTAAAATAAGAATAATTATCTAGAAACATAAGTTATGTTATAAAATAAAAACATCAAATTAACATAAATACACTAAGAATTTATTTTTAATAGTGTATAACAAAAAGAATGATTTGATAAGCAGGTCCATTAACAAGTTGAACCCGTCAGGTTAGTGAATTGGACGAGACAAGTTGATAGGTAAATTTATTTATCCAACTCAATAAAAAAAAGGTGAATTGGTAATCGTTAGATTAAACACAATTACATTTCTATTAAATACATAAAACAAATATATAATTTAAAACCATTATATACATATATATATATAAATTAATATATTTTTAATAAAAAACTAAAATTATATAATTACGATACTTGATAAATTAAAATTGTTTAATTAAAAATTTTAAAAATTAAAATTGTTTTACTATAATATATAAAAGACAAAAATTACTTAATTAAAACTTTAAAAAATAAAATTATACAATTATAATACTTAAAAAATTAAAAAAATATATAATCAAATCAAAATATTATGTGTTGTTTTAAAATATTTATTTACTTTTCAATTTCAAATTCAACATTCACCTATAAACTTTTACAGTATTGGATAACTTGTTGATACTATCTATACTTATATATAAAAGAGGATTTTTTTTATGTACATATTATTTTTGATAAATTTAACCCTTTTATAAAAATTGTATAAATTATATGATAATAACTAATAAAAAAAAGAAAAATCTTCTTTATAGATTTTTTATCTTTGAAACTATATGTAAGTATTTAGTATGTCTACTAATATGTTTGTACTTAATAGAAACTTCACGAAATTCTTTCTCATCAATTACAAATTTACAACATATGTTAGCATGCAGATCCATCCACCTATGCACCATAAAGCTATGCGTTTTTCCAGTGTCACGTGTTCACTGCCAAATTAGAGAGAAAGAAGAACAGAATTACCGACTTTAATCTTAATTAGCCAATCATTGATTTGGAGATAGGAACATTAAGAATTTCTATAAATTGAAAGTTGAAAATCAACAAGAAACAGCTATACCCACAAGAGGAGCATGGCAACTGGCAACATGGGATGAAAACACTTTTAACTTTTTTTCATAATTTTTTTATCTATTTCCAAAATCGTAAATTACAATTTTTTTTTGACATATCTTAAAATACAATTATTATATGTGTTTACATATTTATGAAACAACATGAGACAGACGTAAAGCTTGAACTTGACTTATTCCCGTCCCAACCCAATCCCCAAAATCACTTCTTCTATCCTAAGACACGATCTTCCTTAGTGGGCCAAACTCGAAATAAATGTAAGATAAAGTTATTTAAAATATGGTAAGATATTTTTTTTTAGTTCATCTTTGGAATATTTAGGATTTGAACTCTTGATCTTGCTTAAATGTGGATCAACTCCTACTGTTGAACCACACGCTTGGGATTATGGGTAAGATGTTTTGACACCAATGTGTCTATTGAAATTATATTTTTAATATTTTTTATGATATAAATTGTAGCAGGCCCACAATGCTCAGAGAAGAAAAGAGAGACTCAAGGCCCACATTGCACAAAAGAGAAACTGCTGAGAGAGCAAATGATTGGAAAGCAGAAAATGCCAAATTCGGTTATGGCAGAGGGACACGTGGAGGATCCATCTTGGATCATGCACCCACGCAGAGGGGACAGAAAACGACGCAAGAATATTCGCCTCTTGGATCACGTATAGTGCCTTTTTAAGGGAAATCTCTCGGGAAGAATGAAGGCATTGAAGATTGTTGCACTGTATTTCTTTTCTCATCTTTCTTCTTCTATACTCTCATCTATATTTCTTCGATTCTCTCTCAAGTATTGCTATTGTACTCTTCTGACTCCATCAGTGTAACAATTATTTGCCAACTAAGAATACAATCACATATTCCCTGCGTTTATTTACTGTTTCATTAAGTAATTTCTAAATTTTAGCATTTAGTTGCTACATTTTGGTGCTTTCATTGCTTCTGCAATGGCAGAGAACACACGTATGAAGGATATGCAAAATGACATCAAAGATCTGAAAGAGGCTGTAGAATATCTAAAGCAGAGAGACGTAGAGCATTCCCTTCAGAACCAACACACAAATGCTTCCTTCGAAGAACTGAAAGAGATGATCAGATCTATGTCTCCACAAGGGCCTATTAATCACCTAGATCCACCGCCATGGACTAAACAACCATTTCAAGTAAGAAATGTTAAGATCGACTTTCCTAGATTTGATGGTTCTGATGTTTTATCCTGGATTTTTAAGGCTGAGCAATTTTTTGATTTCTATGACACACCTGATGAACATAGATTGACTATAGCTGCTGTGCATTTGGACAAGGAAGTCGTTCCTTGGTTTCAAATGATCACTAGATTGCAACCCTTTCAGTCATGGCGACATTTTACTAAGGCCTTAGAGTTAGAATTTGGACCTTCACCCTTTGAATGTCCACGATCTACACTGTTTAAACTAACTCAATCAGCCTCAGTTAATGAGTATTATATGGAATTCATTTCACTTGCAAACCGTGTCTGTGGTCTTAGCACTGATGCCTTGTTAGACTGCTTTATTAGTGGCTTGAAACCAGAAATCAAACGCGATGTACTGACGCAAAGCCCTCTATCCTTACTCAAAGCAGTGTCCTTAGCCAAATTATTTGAAGAGAAATACCCAACCAAACCAAAATTCCCTTACAAAACACCAATAGCCACACAACAGCCATACACTTACCCCAAAATACACAACTCCCAACCCCCTCTGTTACCAACACCAAACCAAAAACCGGCTTACCAACTCACTACCAATCCACACTCAAATTTTCCTAACCCTGTCAGGAAAATGACACAGGCAGAAATGCAAGTTCGAAGAGAAAAAGGCCTATGTTATACTTGTGATGATAAATTTACTCCTCAACATAGATGTCCAAATAGACACTACATGATTTTGCAAGTGGAGGAAGAAGCCTCACAAGTTGAGAACACAATCTCTGAACCTGAATTGATAGAGCATGCGAATGAGCAGGATCATCATCTCTCTTTCAATGCATTAAAGGGCAATAGTGGACTTGGCACTATCAGATTTCAGGGGCGAATTCAAGGTCATGCGGTCAGCATATTGTTAGATAGTGGGAGTTCTGACAATTTCTTACAGCCTAGAGTCGCTCACTTCTTGAATTTGCCCATTCAACCTGCTGCTCAGTTCCATGTGATGGTAGGGAATGGCCATTCAATGACAGCTGAGGGTTTGATCCCTGATCTTAAAATTGAGGTTCAAGGGCATGAGCTACACTGTCCTGTTTATTTATTACCTGTTGCAGGTGCTGATGTGATCTTGGGAGCAGCCTGGCTTGCAACACTTGGTCCACATGTGGCTGACTATAGTGCCTTACAATTCAAATTCATGATGAATGGCAAATATATCACACTACAGGGTGATCGATCTTCTTTGCCTCAACAGGCACAATATCAGTATATCAGACGTTTGCAGCATACTGATGCCATAGCTGAATGTTTCACTGTGCAGTTACAGGATCCTGAATGCCAGACAGATGAATTCCTTGACTTCCCTAAGGATTTGGATCCTGAATTGATTATTAAATATTATTTAATATTAATTTTTTAAATTATTAAATATTTAAAAATTAGCTAATATTTATATTTATAAAATTTAATTTAAAAATTTCAACATATAAATATATTCTTAATAATTTAAAATTTGAAAATTTGAATTAATTTATCCAAACAAAATATTTTAAGAATGATAAAAATTGAAATTAAAGTAATTTAAATACCAAGAATTTAAAATTTTTTAAATTTATAAAATTTCTCATCCAAACATACCGTTAGGATAATTGTTTTAACTTCACTTTCTCCTGAATTCATTTTCCCCTACTCTATAGAGTTAACAATATGAAAATTACAAAATTACGTCATTCATTTAGTGTCGATATATATATAAATACAAAAATTAATCCAACATTGAAGTAGCAATTAAGATTTTATTTTCGTCCTTAAAATTTAACTGATTTTACTCTTATATCGTAAATTTAAATTAATATTATTACTTATTTTTAAATTTAAATTAAAATATTTATTTTATTTTAAAAATTATTATTTTTAAATTAAATTAACTTATACTAAGTATTATCATTGTAAATATGCTGACATTATTATTTTCTAATTTAAATTAAATAATTTTATTTTAAATTCTAACAAATTTTGTTGTCTTTGAACTATCATTTATAAGTGTTTATTATGTTTAAATTTTGATCATATAATTGTGTTTAAATTTAAATATATTTCTTGTATTAATTTGATTTCTGAAAAATTATATTTATTAATTTATACAATTGAATATTAAATAATTATATATAAAATAATATTTACCTTATGCATTTTTGTGTTTTATTTTACTTCTATAATAACTACTCTATAAATTACTATTTCTCTCCACTGTTTTCTTTTCCTTTTTTTTATTTAGTTTCTATTCACTTTTTCTTTACTTTCCCTCGAATTATAGTCTCAAAATTAATCACATTCTTTATTACCATCCATAATTATTTAACTTTCATTATCTCTTCTTATTTAAGTCTTTATAAGTATTTAACTTTCTCTTGCGTGGTGGATTGTTTATTATAAGCGTTTATTGTGTTTAAATTTAATCACTTAGTTTTATTTTTTAGAAAAATAAAATGCTTTTTTTTACTAGTATTTAATAACCACGCAGTATAGAAGCGGTGGACATTAAACATACGTAAACGACGTCGTATATGTCTCTCTCTCTATATATATATCTCAATTCCGAAACCCTAGTTTCACTCACTCACATTCCCTGCTTCGTAAATCCGCCGCACAGCACACTTTGCATCTCCTCATAGCAATCTGCAGAATTTGTACACTTCATTTAAAAAAATGGTTGAAGCCATGGAACGTGAAGAAACGCCCAAATTCAGAGACATTAGACGGTATATCTGCGAGTTCTGCGGTATCTGCAGGTCCAAGAAAGCCCTCATCACCTCTCACATCAATTCGCACCACAAGGTTTCCTTCTTTCTATGAATAGCATATTCAATCCGTTTATTTGATTAGCAATTAGCTCATATATGCTTCAGTTGTTGACATTTTACATGTTTTAGGAGGAAGCCGAAAAAGCAGAAGCTGAAAAGGATCCCCAATCAGATCCTGTTAAATCCAACACGTGCGAGGAATGTGGTGCCACTTTCAAGAAACACGCCTATTTGTTGCAGCACATGCAAAGTCACTCGCTTGAGGTATTTCCAATTCTTTTGTTATGATTATTATAAGTAAAACTTTAAATACTCCTAAAAAGCTGCATTTATGTTTTACAGTTTATACACCACATTGTTCCATGAAAAATATTTGGTTTGTGCTAGAGATAGAATTATGTTGTGATTTGCTTGTACTAGTTATTGCATATAGACTGAAGATGCATATTTTGCAGGAAAGTAACCTATAAGATTCTAAATTCATTGGAAAATTATGGATGTTATAGTGTGAGGCATTGGATCCCAGAGAAAGAACTCCAAAATGCGCGAGGCAGCGTGTTTTGCCTTGATGGATCAGTATCAGGTAGGGAGACCTCCTGTGAAGCTCCATCAAGGTTGCCTCGGTCACGCTCTGTTCAAAATTGAGGTTTGCAGTTTGTTCATTAGTGTCTTGTTCTTGTAAAAGCATGGTGATGTATGTGTGTTTTTGTTGGATCTGGCTTTAACACTTCTTTTGTGATGGTTCCAGCGGCCCTTTGCGTGTACTGTTGATGATTGTCAGGCAAATTACAGAAGGAAAGACCACCTGACTCGGCACCTTCTACAGCATCAAGGGAAGACTTTTAAGTGCCCTGTTGAGAATTGCAACATTGAGTTCTCTTTGCATGGCAATATGAAAAGGCATGTTGAGGAGATTCATGATGATAGTTCTACCTCTATTTGGGACAAAAGTCCTAAACAGTTTGTGTGTTCAGAGATTGGTTGTGGAAAGGTTTTCAGATATGCATCACGGCTACAAAAGCATGAAGGTTCTCATGGTATGTTTGGTTCCTTTTGTTTTTCTGTATGACTCAGAGAAATTCCCATTGGATGTTTGTAAGGTGCTTGTTTATTAAGTTTTGTGAAAGATTTTGCCACAATTTTAAAGGAAGCATTTATTCTGCAGTTAAGCTGGAGTCAGTAGATGTGATGTGCTTAGAACCTGGTTGCATGAAACATTTCACTAATGTTCAGTGCCTTCAAGCCCATGTTAAATCCTCCCATCAATATAAAACCTGTGACATTTGTGGGACTAAGCAACTGAAGAAAAATATTAAACGGCACCTTCGTTCACATGAAGCCAGCAGTTCATCGGAGACCTTTCAATGCGAGTTTAAGGGTTGTTGCTGCACATTCTCCACAGTATGACTTCTCATTCTTAATTTGCTCAGAGTATACTATTATTGAATTTTCAATTTGATCACAAGATGAACTTTTTTTAATTTGTTCATGGATGTGTCTACAGAAATCTAATCTTGATAAGCATAAGAAGGTTGTGCATTTTAAGGAAAAGCCTTTTGTGTGTGGGTTTCCTGATTGTGGCATGAGATTTGCTTACAAACATGTGCGAGATAATCACGAAAAAACTGCCAAGCATGTTTTTACTCTTGTAAGTTCTTTTACCTCGTTGTTTCAGATGTGAAAAAAGTTGTCTGACAAGTGATACTGTCAGTTTTACCTTTGCTTTGACATACTCATGAGATTTCCGTGGTACAGGGGGATTTTGAAGAAGGTGATGAAGAGTTCAGATCAAGGCCGAGGGGAGGGAGGAAGAGAGAATGTCCTACGGTTGAAATGCTAATTAGGAAGAGGGTTACCCCGCCTAGTCATTAAGTAATTTCTAAATTTTAGCATTTAGTTGCTACATAAATTTAATTATTTTAATCATTATACTGAATGATATTATACTCATGAACATGCATGTCAAATTTTAAATAATATCTATTTTTTTATATATTTTATCTAACAATATACATTTATATATATTTTTAATATCATTTTATACATTAAAATAAAGAGTTATAAACTATTAAATTATTTTAAAATTATATGTAATTTTGTATAATTGACCTAATTAATAATATCATCAAATATTAAAGTTAGATCGATTAAATTCATACTATAAAAAATAGTGATGATGTTGTTTAACTAATTAGATATCATGGTGTAAAAAGGATCTCATTCTTACAAATTTTATAAGATTTTTAATTAAGTTTTTAACAAAATGAACTCATTTGATATAAATACTTATTTTATGAATTTATAATTTATTTCAATAAATTAATTGGAGTGATTAATAATTTATAAATTTTTAACTAGTTTTTTATTTTATTTTACTTTTTTAAGTTAACAATCCTTTTGTCCATTTATTTTTCCTAAAAACTCACCTTTAATTGTGTTAATATTATCATATAGTTCAAAGAAAATTAATATTGAACATTTCAAATTCCATTAAACAACTATATATTATGCTGCTTCTAGTCTTATTCTTCTTCTGTTTTAAAAAATAAATAAATAAGGAACAAGTGATCCAAATTGATCTAGCCAACTGGCTTGGCGATTTTTTTAATTCTTTTTTTCTTTTTTACAGTTTTATATAGTTTCACATGGTATGTTTCTGAAATTCCACATGCAATAAGTGTTATAAATTTGACTTAAAAAAACAAGTATTATAAATTTGAAGCATTTTAAAAAAACATGAAATTTTATATCACTAATTTTACTTATAGATAATGGTTTATATACTATGTTATAGGCCCAAAAAGGTTAGGAATAACGATGATTAATTTATAATTTGGTTCATTAATTAATTTTGTGATTGCTATGAGATGAGTCTCGGGGCATGCAGAACTAGTTCGAGCAGTAATCAATTGTGGTCCCTTTCTTCTTTAGTAATACACTTATACACATGTGTATTTTATAGGATAAATATTTATTATATATAACTAAAATGTATAATACATTATATATAAAAATATTATATTTAAATATATGAATTCTATTTAAAATTTATATAAATAAATATTTTAATTATTAATAAATTATTTTAAAATATTAAAATTATATAATTGGGGAGTTGATTTATGATACAATGATTATATAAAAAAATGTTTACGGTAAATTGTAATCAAATTCTTCTCCTTGAAGCCCAATGTTTGGTTCTAGAATTATTATTCAATACTGTCAAATAAAAAAGTATTTTCATTTAATATGGTTGAATGCATTTGGTTCTAGAATTGTTATTTAATATTGTCAAATAAAAAAATTTGTTATTTAATATGGTTGAATGCATTTCAATTTTAACAGGATTGGATCACAGTTTCAACTTTCAATATCACTTAATCTCTATACTTCGAAAGATTAATTTATAATTTTCGATTGAGGATACCTTTGAAAAAAACAACTCAATGTCATTAAGCAAACTTCTACGCGACACACACGATATGGTAGGTTGCTTCAAAGATGGTTTTGGGCCTTTTGGATATACAGTTGAAATTTTAAGTTCTAATGGCCCATACAAAAAGTTATATATACATAAAATAGGATATGATATATATACCTCTTTTTTTTTTTTTTATAAGTACATCCCTTTTTAAAAAAATAATAATTAAATTCTTAAAATATTTTAAATTTTTATTATTTTAATTTTTTTTTTAATTTTACACTCCTAACATTTAATTTAACATTTTTTTTACATACTTCTTTCTCTTATTTTCAAATGCACCTCTTTAATTTTTCTTCACCCTCACCTATTTTAATAGGTAATTTTAATTTTTTTAGTTTTATATTATTTTTTTCTCTTCCTCTTTCATTTTTTTTCACTGATTTCACTATCCACATAGTACTTTAGAATAGTGAAAATGTTTTTTTTTATAACACTAAACTTCATGTTAAGGTTTATGGAGGGGTGAAAAAAAAGGAAGTGTTGGAAGAAAAAATGTATGTCTAATTTGATAGAAACTGTCAAGGAAGCTACATGCACCTATAATGTTGTCGCATGCTAGTTCTATGATTTGGGTGCATGTGAAAAAGTGAAAGAGGTGAGAAAATAAGAAAATAATATAAAAATCGAGAAAACTAAAACTATCAACTAAAATAGGTGAGGAATTAGAAAAAGACAAGATGGTGCATGTAAAAACTGAAAAAGAGAATGAAGGAGGTGTGTGAAAAGAAAAAATAGTAAATTGAAAGTTAGAGATGTAAAATTAAAAAATTTTAAAATAAAAAAATTATGATTATTTAAAAAAAAAATTAAAAATAAAGAAGATGTATTTATAAAAATAAAAAATAAAAAATGAGGTGTATATATATTAGCCCATAAAATAAGCATGTTAAGTAAAAGCAGTTTCTTCATTGGTTTTGGGCCATCCATTTTGGGTCGTCCATTTTGTTGTTTTCAATTTCTTCTAAGTCTCACTATGGTATTTAATTTTTCTCTTAGTGCACATGTAAGCCAGTGATGTATTTGCATCACCTATCATGAGTCGTTGAACTAATATGATAAGTGTAAAAGGAAATAGAGGATATGTTTAATTACTTTGTTATAATGTGAAATTTAGAATATTTTCAAATAATTATCACTTTCTATATCATAATTCATTTCAAATAATTTATCATATAAAAAATTAGAATAATGATCTTTTGAAAATTTTATTAAATGAAATTAAATAATACAAATATTATAATTTGGATGATTTTATCTTCCAAAAAATTATATCTCATAGTAAGAAAGAGAGTGGTAGGAATTTCTAAATATTATAAAAATAAATGAGGATCTTTTATAGGATAGTGAAAATAAAAATGAATTAAAAAGTAAAGTTCTTATCAACTTAAACATTTACTGAAGCAACATTTTAAAAATTATTATATGCTAGTAAAATAAATTATTTTTCCCTTCTATCAAATAAACTTGCAATTGTCTAGACAAAAAAAATTGCAACTATTCTAATAAACTGTAACTTATCTGATTTACACATCCCCAATAATTTTCGGTGATGTCTCTGATAGTCCAGAGAGACAAGTGGTCCATGGGTGGTGCATCTAAAATCACCATAGATATAATATTAAAAAGAATGAATGGTTGAGATTGTGATTTAGTGAGAAAATATATTGTACACCTTCCCACACTGGATAAAATTTCTGAATTTTTTATTGAAATATTTTTTTTAAATTACCTAAAAAAACACGTATTACGAGGATGCAACAGCTGTCACTTTCAGAACGGGCCGTTCTGGTTTCAGAACGGGCCGTTCTGGTTTCAGAACGGCCCGTTCTAGATGAAAAAATAACACAGGAATAATGCAACAGAACGGGCCGTTCTAGAAGAAAAAAAAACCACGTGATAAACTACACTAGAACGGGCCGTTCTGATTTCAGAACGGCCCGTTCCAGATTTAAAAGTAACATATGATTACTTAAACCAGAACGGGCCGTTCTGAATTCGGAACGGCCCGTTCTGGCTACATATTTGTTTTTTTTTTTATTTCATTCTACTAAATCACATTTAAAATTTAAGTATAGTTTTTCAATTGAGCGAGATATGAAGCCCCTTCCTCAATGACATCAAACATCTTATGAATAAAGGCCAAAACTAGGCCTAATAAACTTAAAACCCAAAAAGTCTTATACTAAGGCCCATAATACAAGACCAAACAATATAAACTCCTATACTACCAAATATATGAGAAAGGTGGTCATCTATGTAAAGCCCAAGTAAAGAGAACCTTAGGCCCACCAAACCCATTGGGCTCACTAAGCTCAAAAGCAATCAAAAGTCCAAAGGCCCATGAAGCCCAAAACTAGGCCCAATAAGCATAAAACCCAAAAAGTCTTATACTAAGGCCCATAATACAAGACCAAACAATATAAACTCCTATACTGCCAAATATATGAGAAAGGTGGTCATCTATGTAAAGCCCAAGTAAAGAGAACCTTTGGCCCACCAAACCCATTGGGCTCACTAACCTCCTATACATAAGAAATAGAATGAAAAGAAAAAAAAATGAATAAAAATAGAATAAAAATTTGGTTGAAGAGAAATGAGTGAAAAATATGTAAAAATATTAGATATATATAAAAGAGAGGAAAGAGAACTAAATAATCATTAACTTATATATATATATATATATATATATATAAGTTAATGATTATTTAGTTTACAATTTTGATTTTTTTTTTATGTAAGAGATTAATTTTTCTATAAAAAAAAAAAGAATAAAACAAAATAGAATCGACATATATATCAACAAAGGTTGCTTTAGTTGGCTAGAAAAGTTAATTGTGACTTGAAAGCAAAGTTCTTTAATTTGTAACTTGAAAAACTTAAACATTAGCTTTATTATTGTCACAGAAGAATTAAACAAAGCAATAAACCACCTTGTAAATAATTATAGCTCACAAACCCTTTTCTTTACCCAAAAAATGGTTGTAGAATGTGAATGTGAGTGTGAAAGTAGAAAACGTGTTCCTGTTTGAAGGCTTTATGTGATTAATAAGTGCAGGAAAACTAAGGAAAAGTAATAATAATATAAGCGAAAAAACGTCTTCCTCTTCTCTCTTTACCAAAAGATAATTGTTGGTAAGTATGATGACTTATATTGTTTTATTGTTGGTAAGCTTCATCATATTCCAACTTAGTTTAGTTTTTCATTTTTAAAATTTAATATAATTTTTTAACTATATATTTTCTTATATCATGTTCATTGTAGCAATGTAAGATCTCAGTGTTTATCGAGTATCATCATTAATGGATCATTTTATAAAATGATGGGTTACTTACAGTATTCGATTGTTTAATTTTTTTTTTCTTTCTCTTCTTGCCCTAAACTTGTATTGAGTGTGAAATCATATCAATTATCACATCTCATATTCTTTTTTAGTTTTTTAATAATAACTAATTTTTTAGACATTTTTTAAAAACTTTCATTTTTTAATTATCTTTATAATATTTTTAGGCAAAGAAATACTGAAAATATTTTTTAAATGATTTTTTTATTTTAAATAATAGTAGTAATAAAAGTGTTAGAGAATATTTTACAATTTTTTTTATAATTTTTACTTAGTAACTCAGAGTTGTATTTATTTTTTTATAAATAAAAAGTAAAAAAATAAAAAGATAACACTTTCACAACTATCTAATATAAAATTAAAAAATATACTGTAGATTCTGAAAATTGTAAATCGCTTTCGTCTTTTCAAACCCAGTATTGAGTATCACTTCAATAAAGACATGGTGATTACCTTTATGCTTTATCTATAAAGTTTTACTTTTTTATATGGCTCACTAATTTTTAAAAGGATTATTTATCGATAATCATATTTACCAAGTAAGAGCAAATGAAAGTGGATCCATTTCCGATGATATTTACATTGAATTGGATCTTAACCATTTAGTAAATTTTATTAATATAATAGTTTTTAGTTATAAATATTTATTTATTTTATTAATTAAACTCATGAGTAAAGACATTCTTGATTTCTTGTTACTAAAACTCAGAAATGATGAGTATTCAATAAAAACAACAAATGATAATTATTCAATGATAGTAGTGTGGTTGCACCTCCTACAGTTTTATCATCCCTTTTTCTTTTTCTTTTTCTAATAAGATCAACATGACGTAGAAAAATTCTAACAAATTTCTACTATGTTTTTTTATTACCTACTCTGTAATTTAGCAGACACGTGGTTTGATGCAAATGATGAGACAGAATGATCTAACGTGGGAAGCTTATAGTATGATATGAGATAATATATTTTATTAGGGTTTTTGAAAATGCAAAAGTCTATCCAAACACGACACAGTGAGCATCGTCACATTATCTCACATGTGGTCTTTATCGTATACGCGTGTGTATTAAATAAATAATAAATATATTTAATACTTTGAAAATATCAAATATATTTAAGATCATACAAATAAAGTAAACACAATCAAATACAAAGGTATAATAATTAAGAAGATTCAATATTATTGAAAAATTTAACGTTTTCATAGTCTGTAGCCAATAAAGAAAAAGAGTACCAAATATATAAAAAAGAAAACATCTTATAAGGAAACAATCATATTATTTTTCCAAAATTACAGAAAAATTTTCCAAAAAATTCTGTAAAAAGTATATATAAATTAAAAAATCCGATTGAGACACCCAAAAAAAAAATAAAATCTATGGGTTCAAGTCGTATTACCTATACCAAAAAAGAGATATAAAAGTTTTGGAAAATCGTGTTTGGAAGCGTAAAAGAACAATAATTTTATTCTATGAAAAGTCAGTTAATTAATGAAGTAACATATAAAGAGTGTTATTAAATCAGTCTTAAAGGATTTATCTTAAAAACAAAATCTTACAATGCCATATCAATAATAATTGAGCTAAAAGGATAACTAATGATTATCTTTTATATACTCTTTCAAAGTTCAACCATCAAAAAATTACAAATTAAATTATTTGCACCTTTTCAATAATTTAAAATGTTTCCAATAAAAATAATTTGTTCTTGTATGTCTTTATTATTTTTTTCAAATTAATCTCGCGAATATATATAATTTAGCAGAATATGTAAGCAATTTATATATAACATCTTTTTCATTTATTGAGGGTTCTAATAATTGATATATTTATACAAATAATTAAAATTTAATTTCTTGATCTATATCCTCAATTTTATTAATTAGTAATTACAAAACAAATAATTTTAAAAATATAATAATTTTTTTTAGTGCCAACTAAAAAGATAGATAATTTTTAATTATATATAAAAAGAATAATAATATATAGATAATTTTATATATTAAACACTTTATTAATATTTACCTATTTATTTATTTTTTCATATCATTTCACTTATTATGCTTATACTTATTTTTCTTTTCTTTTGTAAGTGTTAATTTCTTCTGTGTTTATCAAACTTTTCACGGACATGGGTATATATATGTATATATATATATATTAAAAAAAATTGAAGGCTAAAGCTTCCTCAATTATAACTAAGCTCCTTGATCATGTATAAATTAATTTTAATTTATGAGAAAAATTATTTTATTTTACTTTTTTAACTTTTCTAAAATTATTTATAAAATAAATTAGATTCTAATTCTTTTTGAGATGTAAGATCATTTAAATGATTTTTTTATTATAAATGAGAATTTAATTTGATTAAAAAAAATTTCAAAATTTTTAACCAATTAAGTTTGATCTTATTAATATTTAAATGCATTTTGTTTATTGCATCAAAATCTTGAAAAATAAATAAATTTAGTAGTTATGTATTAAGTATAAAATTAAAAGATAAAATTTGGATACAAATTTTTAAATATATTATTAGAATTGTAAATTTACTTCAATAATATAACTAAATATATATATATATATTAATAATATTTATATTAAATACAAGTATATATTATCTAGATAAATCTTCACCACTCACATTAATAATAATAATAGTAAACTTTCTCGAATATTAAAAAACCTATTTTTCTGAATAAATAATAGTAATTTAGTGGTTAAGATTAATTAGGTGGCACATGTCGTGAATGCAAGAGGAGTTAAATGTGGTGTGGGATACGCATGGCTGACTCTGATGAGGGAAGTTTCATTCTATTCTAAGTATCTAACATTGTTTTGGTCGTAAATAGTTTTGTTTACTCCAAAAATCCAAATCCCACAGTTGACTCGGTTCCATGTTGCTGCTTCCTATATCCTCTTTTTCTTTCACATTTCACTCAGACTCTTTCCACTTTCCTCTCCCTCTTATAACCCTGCATATTCTGATCCACTGCCCTCATTCAATTCTTTCATGCTTTGACTGAATCTTCAATTGTTCTGGGGTGGTACCTGAGAACTTAAAAAAGCTCTCACCTTTTTGTGTCACAATCATGGGATCCTGTCTGAGTAAAAGAGGGTCAGAGCCAGAAGAACAACACATTGGTTATAGACATGCTGTTGGGGGTGGTGGTGTGCACAATCACAAGAGCCATGATCATGATCCCTATGTCAACCAATCAAAGCCCCCCTACCAATTACCTGAGAAACATGCACCTCATGTCCCACCAAGAAGCCCAAAACATGCACATCACACAATCACTGGGAAGCCCTTTGAGGATGTTAAGCAGCACTACACACTTGGGAAGGAGTTGGGGAGAGGCCAATTTGGGGTGACCTATCTCTGCACTCACAACTCAACTGGCTTGCAATATGCCTGCAAGTCCATTTCAAAGAGGAAGCTTGTGAGCAGAGCTGACAAAGAGGACATGAGGAGGGAGATCCAAATCATGCAGCACTTGAGTGGACAATCCAACATTGTGGAGTTCAAAGGTGCTTATGAGGATAAGCACTCAGTTCATGTGGTCATGGAGCTGTGTGCAGGTGGTGAACTTTTTGACAGGATTATTGCCAAGGGCCACTACAGTGAAAGGGCTGCTGCTTCCATATGTAGACAGATTGTTAAGGTTGTTCACATCTGCCATTTTATGGGTGTCATGCATAGGGATCTCAAGCCAGAGAATTTCTTGCTGTCCAGTAAGGATGACAAGGCGCTTCTCAAGGCCACAGATTTTGGCTTGTCTGTCTTCATTGAAGAAGGTAAATTTGTCATCCATTCGTTGGTTTTTTTGTTATGAAATTGTGGTAGTTGCGGATTCCTGAAAGAAAAATATGTGAACTCACTGTAGCATAGTTGTGAATAACCTAACCTGCTATAGTTTTGAGGGAAAGTTTGTATAATTTTCTATCCAAAACTTTGTTTACTTTTTTTTTTTTTTTTTTTTTTTGTTGCTGTGGGAATTGGAATTGTATGCAGAAATCATGGAAGTTTGAAAATAATTTTTCTGTTGCTTCTCTTAGTTCTAATAGTGCATTGCCAATGCTCATCATCAGTGGCGCCGGTTGTCAAGATTTACAAAGCTTGAGAAGATTTTAATTTGTTTAAGGGGATATATATATAATATATATTTTTTTTTTTTTTTTTTTTCAAGATGTTGATTTGAGCAAACTTCTGCCAACTAATTTTTATAATGTTTCTTATCGTTTTTCTTTTCTCTCCATACGTATGCATGCAGTTTGTCACTGTTAGTAGATGCGCATCTTTTGCTACTCAGTTTGTGCCATGAGTTTATGATTTATGATTTTTTTTTTTTAAAAGTATGGAGAGGAAATTGTAAAGTGACTGTTGGCTAGAAAGGGTTTATATACTGTTAATTTTAAGTGAATTATGTTTATGAAGCAGCAGTTTAATTGAAATCAACGGTTAATACACTCTCACTCATTTTATACATCATTTCACTTTAAATGAACTCAGTCCATTATTATACCCAAAATCTACAAGCATGCTCTCTAAGTATTTACAGGGATATTATCTTTCCTTTTTTACATATGTTGCATTGTTCCCCACTTGCCCTGTTAGACATGATCTGAAGCAAAATAAAGTTTGATAAAGTAAGTATTCATTTCATCATTTGGTCCATCCTAATCAATTATTCAGCAGTATTGAACTGACGCTGCTCATCTTATGAGTCAATATCCTATCATTTCATTTATTCCATACGTTACACTAATTGTGTTCTTTGATTTAATGAGTTTCTTAAACTTTGAATGGTTGGCTAATCTTAATATCTTGGGTATACCGTTAAAAATTATAAAAGAAAGTCTGCTGCTTATTTTAGTTCCATCATAATCCATGTCCATGAAGAGTCTCTCATTTATAATTTTTCCACAACAATATGATATGCATGATGTACCTATTTTTCATGTTTGGCAGCAACTTGTCTTTCGATAAGATTTATCTGATTAAAAAGTTGGATTATCTTCCATTTAGAACATACACTAAACTTTTTCTAATTAATTCTTCCCAGGAAAGGTGTATCGAGATATAGTTGGCAGTGCTTACTATGTTGCTCCAGAAGTTCTACGTCGTAGCTATGGGAAGGAAATAGATATATGGAGTGCAGGAGTCATATTGTATATCCTACTTAGTGGTGTCCCTCCATTTTGGGCAGGTAAACTCTAATATGTTCATAATATGACCTTGTAGTAGAGGCTAGGCACACCCCCACCCCCATTCCAACCTTTGTTTTACACTTGACATTTTTTCATAAAATATGTGCTGTAGAGACGGAAAACGGAATATTTGATGCCATATTGCAAGGTCATATTGATTTTGAAAGTCATCCATGGCCTAGCATTTCAAAAAGTGCTAAGGACCTTGTTCGCAAGATGCTTATAAAGGATCCAAAGAAACGTGTTACTCCTGCTGAGGTTTTAGGTAGGTAACTTTTACCGTATTTTCTCCTCATTGAAGTATATTAAACTATATTTGTAGATTGTTTGATAGTTTGACTGTCTTTCCCACTTGGTTCTTTTATGTGTACCCGGGTGAGGTTGAGAAGATAAATTACAAGAGGGGTTTAAATATTTTTTTCTATATATACTTGTCGATGTTCTGTCAGGAACCCAAAGAATGTTATAGTTAATACTAATAGTTTTTCATGTAAAACATGAATTTAGGGCTTAAAAACTTATACGCATATAGGTGAGTTTATCAAAGTTGTTTCAATTCTGTATAGATTACATTCGACAACCAATGTTGCATGTGAACATGTTTGTTGTTGAGGCTTAGGACTTTTTAGAGACGATATTTTCACAATTATACTGTTTCCTCTGTTATCAACTATTATGTATCCTTTAAAGATGTCAATTGTTTATTTACAGGATATTTGTATATTTGATAGAAAAAGAAATATTATTGAACTTGTGCGAAGCCAGTAACAGTGTGTCTGTGGCTTGATGAAGTGATTCATACCTGTTTCCCGTTGCTATTACTGCTGAGTGATAGCTTGATTGCAGCATCATTAAGAATTTTCTCGGTTGAATTGTAATTTCTCTACTTATTGAATCCCTTATTGTTTGAATAATCAGAGCATCCATGGCTTAAAGAAGGCGGAAATGCTTCTGACAAGCCAATAGACAGTGCAGTGCTTTCCAGAATGAAGCAATTCAGAGCGATGAATAAACTAAAAAAACTAGCCCTCAAGGTTAGTTCAGTCACAAGCTGCATGAAGAGACTGCGATGCTCTTTTATGCTTATTTTTACTGAATTAAAAATAAACTGAGTGGATTTTGAATAATCTTTTAGGTCATTGCTGAAAATCTTTCTGAAGAAGAGATCCAGGGTTTGAAGGCAATGTTCACAAATATGGACACTGACAATAGTGGTACAATCACCTATGAGGAACTGAGGGCAGGGTTGCAAAGACTTGGCTCAAGGCTTACCGAAGCTGAAGTGCGGCAGCTTATGGATGCCGTAAGCTATTATTGAATTCACAATATTTGTCCTCCATTGTTTTTCTATATTCTTTCAAGCTGACATTCCTTTGCTTAAATTTAGGCTGATGTCGATGGAAATGGCACAATTGACTACATAGAATTCATCACTGCTACAATGCATAGACACAAGTTAGAAAGAGATGAGCATCTTTACAAGGCCTTCCAATATTTTGATAAAGATAGCAGCGGGTAAGTCCATTTATCATGAACTAACATTTCTTCTCAAATATGTCACGTTGTGGAAGTAATGTTTTTCCTTAGTATGCATTCTCAACCTCAATCATTTCTTTCAATTTTGAAGTCTAAGCCTTCCATATTAATCTTTTGACTATTTGGTTAAGTTTCATGCGTATCATTAATTTTTTAATAGTAAACAAGGATCATATACCATAAATCCTATTTCTTCCTACACCAAAAAGGCACATTCATTAGCAAATCATTATTTAATAAATATCTCTTTAGAATTTCAAGAGTAATGACACATGTACCCTGGCTTTTCTTTGATTCCATCTCAGGTACATCACAAGAGATGAGCTGGAAACAGCCATGAAGGATTATGGTATGGGTGACGAGGCCACAATCAGGGAAATTATATCTGAAGTTGATACAGATAATGTAAGCCTATTTTCTTTTAGCATGCTACATGATGTTTGTATTCTAGTTCCATAGTTAACACTCAATATGTGGTTTCTCAGGATGGTAGAATCAACTATGAAGAGTTTTGTACAATGATGAGGAGTGGAACCCAACAACAAGGCAAACTATTCTAATATGGCTAGATTGAGTGTGTCCCCCACTTCAGAGGAAAGTTTCCAAAAGTTCATATACATTATAGGCTTGTAAGGCTTATAGTTTAGATTTGTTTGAGATACATGCTCTGTTTACTTTTTGTCAACTCTTATTACCCTTTTTGGTTTCTTTTTCACTTTAAAGTCTATTATTGAGTCCACATGTAATTTAGCATGGAATCTAATAAAAAAAAAGGACTCTCCTAGGAAAGGTGATACTCAAAGATAGATTATACAGTTTGTTAAATTGAAAAATCCTCATCTAGTATCATTTGTTAAGGTCACTGATGAAATATTATTGTTGCTGGCTCAGAATTATGAGAACCAATAAATGGTTTAGAGGTTAAGCCAAGAATTAAAGGCCGTTTCTAATCCATCATTTTCTGCTTGAAGCAAACTAGGGTGACAATATAGTTAGAAGTTAGTTACATATCTAATGAATGACAACCACACGAAATATTTATCATAAAAAATAATAACTAATCTTGTTTGAGGATCATAAATGGACACAATACAAAGTGTATATTTTTCTAACATAGTTTGTTTAATATCAAATTAGGAATCAAAATCTGAATAACTTGTTAAAAGACAAAGTAACTACTACTTGTGCTAATCATTGTTGGTATCTTATCCATTATTTTACATTTATCATTTAAAATGTTGAAATTAAATTTAAATCCAATCATATCTAATCTAATTTAAAGTATTTAGGATTAAATAAGTTTTTTTTTGTTAGTTAGATATGGTTAAATAAATTTTATTTTATTTATATTTTTTATTAAAATTGATTTTTTAAATATAAATATATAAAATTCTTCCTTTGCAACTTACTATGTGGATGGAGTAAACGATCTATAATACCATGAAAAATCTTCAAAGAGTTTGATGATTGATTCCGGAGTTGCATATGGTTATATCTTATTTTAATCTAAACTTTTTATGTAGCAAAGAAAAAAAATGAGCTTTCTCGTATAAGAACATTTTTAGGAGTCTTTTTTTAAATGAAAGTGTTTTTAGTAGTTTTTTTCTTGACAACAGGTTTTTTTAAGGGATTTTTATAACTTCTTGTTTATTTTAATTTATATTTATTACAATTATTTCTAAATTAAATTTTACTATTTTAAAATAAATGATCAATAATTAAAAGATTAAAACACTTTTTTAGCTCTTATAATTTCACTTATTTTACCTTTTAGTTCTTATAGTTTAAGATAGATTTTTTAGTCTTTATACTTGCAATTTTGTAATCTTTATAGACACTATTGTTAATATTTTTGAATGTTGTCTCTTATGTGTTGATGTGACAAAGATTTTCAATTTTGTGAGGATATAAAAGAGATACAAAACATCGAAAGATTCAATTTATGATAACTCTAGTAAATTCAACATTAGACACACAAAGTTGAAAACATCTATATAAGAACTAAAAAGAGACAACATTACCAAAAAAAAAACTAGCAATAATGTCTAAAATAATTAAGTATAAAGACTAAAAAGATCTATATTAAATTATAGAGACTAAAAATAATTGAAAAAGATAAATATAAGAATTAAAATATTTATTTTAAACTATAGAGACTAAAAGGTAAAGAAAATGAAATTATGATAATTAAAAAATATTTTAACTTAATTAAAAAATAATCTTGTGTCATTTTAAATTATCTATCATAAATTTAAAATATAATATTTTTTTAAAAAAATATATATACATAAATTTTAAATATAATATAATTTATATATTCAAATATGATTTATTTGTATATTTAGTTTATTATAAATTTTAATTATATAATAAATATTTAATATGTGTAACTACATGTTAAAATACTGGTTATATAATAAAAGAAATGCTAAAACCCTATTTTGGTCCCTTATAATAATTGTTTGTTTCAATTTAGTCTCACTTTTATTTTTTGTTTCAATTTGGTCCCAAATAAATTAATTGGTTTCAATTTGGGACTTCCGTCCAAATTATTTAAACAGAGTTAACTTTTGCCCACGTGGATGCCACGTAGATGCATACGTGAATACCACGTGGACGCCAAATTTTGTGAAAACATCTGGAACTAGAACGGCCCGTTTTGAAACCAGAATGGGACGTTCTGGATGCATTCTTGGTGTGTTAATTTTGCATCTGAAACGGGCCGTTCCAGATACAAAACTAACACACCACCAGTACATCAGAACGGGCCGTTCTGGGCCCGTTCCAAAACTGAGAATAGAATATTCTTTATTAATTTTATTAAAAAATATAATAATTTTGAAAAATATTTTTTTATGGTAAAAATTTTAAAATTACTTATTTTTATAAAATACAATTGTCTTATAAATAGAGTAATAACTTTTTCTTTTTCTCTTTCTGTCTGAAGAAATATTTAAGTATCACTTTATAATTTTTTTTGCAACTTATTTAAAATTAGAGAAATAAAATGATAAAAATTAATAGGATAAACATAATAAAATAAAATATAAAAAAATATTAATATATTTACTATATTAGATATAACAACATAATTAAAATATAATTAATAATATATATTTTATAAAATTATTAATATTTTATATATAAAAAAAGAATGAAATTTTTTTTAAAGGGGGCAAGTGCCCCCACTATAATTAACTTAGATCTGTCCCTGCATATGATTGTGTGGTGAAATGTTAGTCCTGTGTATCTTCTTCCTTTAATTCAGGTTCTACCTCTTCAAGAACAGGTTGCTGTTGTTGGGGTACATCGTTAATGACTTCAAGGAAAAATACCATGTCATTTCATCTTTTACTGTATAGTTTCATTTTGGTAGTAAGTGGTTCACTCCAGTTTGAAATGAAATAAAATTTGCTACCATTATCTTTAGTGATACATTGCATTGTCCTTAATAATACACTGTATAGCCTAACTGTTTAGCAATTGAAGTTATTAATTTCCATTGACAATATTACCAAATTCAGTGTTTGAAATACTTTGTACCTTGGGTCTTTTCCTTCCATGATTCACAACCATAAACTATAATCATTGATCGTTTATGTTTAGCAATGTGGAACTAGAACGGCCCGTTCTGAAACTAGAACGGCCCGTTCTGGGTCCAGGTGTTTTCAAAAAAATTTATCATCCACGTGGCATCCACCTATGCATCTACGTGGCATCCACGTGGCCAATAGTTAACTCCGTTTAAATAATTTAGACGGAAGTGAAACAATTAATTTATTTGGACCAAATTGAAACCAATTAATTTATTTGGGACCAAATTGAAACAAAAAATAAAAGTGGGACTAAATTAAAACAAACAATTATTATAAGAGACCAAAATAAGTTTTTAGCCTAAAAGAAAAAGATGAAGAACAAGAATAATTTCAAATTAATCTAAAACTAACAGTGTTTTTTTTTTCTTCTCTCGAAATCAACACTAACAAACTTAACAATACACTAAATAATAAAATATAATTTTGAAAATAAGGATATGGAGGAAACAAACAAGGATTTTATTTTCTTGATTGTATGCATATATATACTAGTTTCACCAATGAAACTGTACATTCACAGATTTGGTTTAAATTAAATTGACAATTTATAGGAACACGTGTTTTTAAGTTCTTATTCTTTGACTAAAACATGATCAAAGTTTTTTTTTAATTTTTATATTGTTGAATTTGATTCTCAACTTTAAAAAAAATGCTGAACTCTTAGAGAAAAGAGATCAAACCCACATTTTATTTGTTATGTAAATCGTAAAAAGAGAAAATAAATATGAATTAGAATAATTATTTTAAATAGGATTATTTCTATATAGATCATTTTTTTATGAGAATACTTTAAGGAATTTTTCTTAATTTTTATCTCTTTCTATCATTTTTCATTTTGATATTTAAATAGAATTTCAATTTTAAAAAAAAATATCAATATCTAAAAATAAGTTTGTATCATAATATAAATTATTTATCATAATTTATATGATGAATCTTTTTTATTTATTACTAATTTTAGTTATAGTATAACTTATATATTTCAAAAGAATTTATATATTTTAAATTGTAGCTATATAATCAAATAAAAAAAATTGTCATGCACATTGCATAAGCAAAAATACTAGTTATAAAAAATTGTAAAATGTATTAATTTTATTAAAAATTTCCACAAATAATTAAAGTAGAAAGTTAAATCAATCAAATAATCTATTAATTAATAATATTGATTGTCACCAAATATTAAAGTTACTATATTTGTTATGTTATAAACTTGCTGTAATGTCAACAGATCCTCTCTATTTATAAATTTATAATTGAATGTAAGAGGTATGAAATAAAATGTATGTGAAGTATTACTAAAGGACAAACAATGGGCTAATGGAACCCAAAGCATGTGAGCAATTTTCATTCAAGAGAGTTGTGAATTACATTGCTAAAAGAGCCAAAACCAAGAAAGTGAGTGAGGTGATTTTGGAACAAGTAAGACTTGTGGTTTAGATCAATTTCTTAGGTTAGCATATCACTGGTACTAAAAAGTAAAGGTTCCTATAGTTTCATAACCTCAATTGGGGAAGAAATAATCTTTTTTCTCCTATTTTACATTGTCAACCTAAATTGCTTTCAATATATATACCTTCTATATTAATCTTTTGATCCGTTTTTAATAATAAGAAAGGATCAAACATCATAAATTCCATTTCTTCCTACACCAAATAACACATTTATTACTGTATCACGAATTGATATATAGCCCTATTTCTAATTCTAATTATACATGTATTTCATCACAGGCAACGGTCTGGAAGCGCCAAATTCGATGCTGGAGAAGAAAACCTTATCCGAAATTTAAGCTCTCAAACAAACTTACATTTAAAGAAGATTATCTATCAACTTTACACAAGATTTAATTGGACTATATATATATTGGATAAAAATATAATTTGCAAGAATAAATTCGTGTGTCCATTGTCTATATATGCTTTTTTAACCTTTTTAAAAACTTGTTCTCCCTTATTAAACTATTTAAAAGTTTATTCTACATTAACAATATTTAAAATAACAATAATTTTGAATAATTCAATAAATATAATTTTAAATACATGTATAAGTTTTTTTTTAATTTTTTTATAATTTACGTGATAAAAATATATTATTATTATTATTATTATTATTATTAAAATTTAAAATGCACAAAGTATATGAAAAAAGATAATCTTATCTAAAAAAATTTCTAAATATTTTCTACATTCCATTTAAAAAATTCTAAATAAGTAACTATAATGATAAATTTCTAAAAAGAGCATTCAAAGATATAACTGTTTAAGCATATATTTTTGATCTTTTGATTTGACATGAATATGAAATATAAAATGTTCAAGAGAAAATATAAAAAATTATTTCTAATTAGATTTTTATATTATAAATTTATTTATTTAATTATATTATTAATAATATAATATAATATATAATTTTTTTTTCATATCATATAGATAAATAGATTGTCAGATTTAACATTTTTTTTATAAATTTAAATCCAATCTTTTTAAATAAGTTTTTTTCCTAGTTTATAGTATTATATATTTTCATCTCTGATAATAACTAATATCTTTATTATATCATCTAGAATATATTTCCATTATATCATCTACTTGATATCATTATTAGTATCTTTATTATATTATCCACAATATATTTCCATTATATCATCTATTGATACGATTAGAAAGTAAATTTATAGAACTTTGGCGCGCACTTGAATTTTAGTGGCGCAGGTGCTATAATGTGTGTATAAAATCTGAAGGCGGAGAAGAAGAAACCATACTCCGAAACAATGCAGCGAAAGAGAAAGAGAGAACACGAGAATGAAGAAGATTTGAGGAGTGTGGTTCGTGACATATTTGCAGAAGGCAAACAGCTTCTGAATCCAGAATTTTTTTCATTTCTTTCTACGGATGAAGGGTCATCGAAGGAAATGAGTGAGAAGAGTCGCAAAAAGAAGTTGAAAAGTGATGATAATGATGGAAAATTCAAAGTTTGATTATCTATTGGATGCAGTGTGCATGTTTAGTCGTTACGAGGAGGATTGCTTGAGAAACAAGAAACGTGAGAAAAGCGAAAGCCAACCTCGTGAGTTGCCAAGGATGTTCAAAGAGAAGATAAAGGAACTGAATGGGTGTGAGGAGAAGTTTGTGATGCAGAAGGAACTTTTTAAGTCAGACATTAGTCTAAACAATGCCCGGTTTTCTATTCCACCGAAAAAGTTGGTCGACAAGTTTCTGACCGAAACAGAAGAGTCTTTCTTGGATGTGCGTGAAGAGGAAAACAAGACGGTTCCCAGCATTCCTGTGTTGGTGTTGGATCCTTCATTGAGAGAGTACAACTTGCTCTTCAAGAAGTGGGATATGATGAGAAGTAGTGTCTATAACTTGGCCACCGGATGGAACCAGATTCTTCATCACAATAATTTCAAGGTCGATGATACGATGCAGCTATGGTCCTTTAGAGTCTCTTCTCAGCTTTGTTTTGCACTTGTCAAGCTCTGATCATCCATTAGATATCAAGGCATTCCCCCAGGCCATGCAACACATTCTTGTTGTTTCAACTTTGTTGTCTAATATAGTTCTCTTCTAGGCATGTTTATTTAGTTTTTAAGTTCATTATCAAGAAGTATTTCTGTGGAACACCAGAACTAATATTTTTTAAAAACTTGATTGGTAATGAGCAGATGATCTTTTTTATGTTTATTTTGATTGCAACGAACCAAATTTGTATCAAATTTAATGATTTAGATTATATAGAATAGAATGCTTATATATATATATATATAGATATGTGTATTTTATATGGTCCTTGAAAGTAGGGATGAAATTATTTGATTAGCATTACACTTTTATGGTTTAGTTACCTTTTTTTCTTCATATTTTTATAAATTTATCTTTTATTTTGTATTTGGGATAATTGCTTAAATTTGTAAGTAGTTTTTTTTTAAATAAGTTATTTTTGTGAAGCTAAAAATTTAAAGTTAATAAACTGTTTTTTTTCTTTATCTAAACAATATTAAACATCTTGAATTCTTGATTTTTAAAATTGATTATAATAATAATAATAATAATCAATTATTCATATAATTGATTATTAAAATAATTTAATTTTCACAGTTTTTCCAAACATATCCTTAATTTTTATAAAAAAAATTTTCATTTTAGTTTCTATACATAATACTTTTTTCTTTTAGTTTCTACAGTCGCATATACTTTCCCTTTTACTTTTTTTAATTATATATATTTTTTATTTTAGTTTCCATAATTATATAAAATTTTATTTTTAATATTTATAAAAAAATAGATAAAATTAAAAAAGAGAACAAAAATAATATGTATAGGAACTAAAATAGAATTTTTTAACTATAGAAACTAACATGTAAAGGTTATAAAATTATATGAATGAAAAGGATAATTAAATTCACTTTTATTTATTTTCGAAATAAAATTTGCCGCCCCCTCCCTTTTATAATTCACTCGGACAACATAGTTTATAAGAAAAAAAAACAATTTAAATTGGGAAATAACGTGTAACAGGTGATGTTTTTCATTATATATATATATATATATATATTAAGTTTAAATAATTTTGTGTATTTATTTGATCTTTGATATCAAATATTTAAAGTTAATTTATTCTTTTGATTTATTTTTTATTTAATTGGTTTAATTATATATTTTTTAAAAAAAATTATTTTGGTCTTTTATGTTTAAAAATGATGTAATATTGTTATTTTTGTTTAATTAAGAGAGACAAGACAACATTATATTATTTTTGAAAAGAGTCCCATGTCAAATAAAAATGAAAAAGAAGCAAAATTTCAGAATGAGATGAAACTTTAGTGTTTTAAGTCTGTATAAGATAATAAAGTTATGTTATTATAAAATGAGGTATAACATTTTATTAAATTAAAAATGTCACGTGGTGAATACATAGCGAATTTAAAGTGTCATACTGCTTGAAACGTGGTACTAGGTAGTTGATCAGAAACCATGGATCTTGATCTGGTCCTTCCTAACGAGGCCAGCTTGAATGAGGAAGTGAGAAACGTTTTTGCGTTGATCACCTTGGAGTTGGATAATCTTGCCAAGCTCCTTGTCATGCACAACATTTCCATTGCAGCAGAACTCTTTCTTGAGATCTTTGAGAATCTTTTCGTAGCTGAACTCCTTCCTCAGCCCCTGCACTGTGGTTAGACTCTTCTTTCCATTTCTCTGTTGTATGCGGATATGCACATACTCTTTTGCCCCAGGGCCATCAGATTCTTTAGCCTCAGCAAAAGGGTCGAAAGTTCTTGCAGGGATCTGAATACCCACTTCAACCATATATGTACTTTGATTTAATTATCTACACAAATCACCACCACCTAATGCAGAAATAATTTAATCACAGTAACAAAAATGTACATCACCATAACTTCATGTTCATGCATGCCAATATATAGCAAACAACAATAAATCTTAAGGGTCTTAACTTTTAGTCTTTGATTAACGTTAAAAACCAAGCACCTCTTCCCTTCACATCATGCATATACCAGAAAATTAAAGATTAAAATGTCTTTCTTGTGTATCAAACTTGAAATATTAAATTTTATTAACAAAAGTTTTCAGACCAAGTAGGAAATAAACATGAGCTAGGAAGATGTCATGTGTTGAAGGAAAGACGAACCTGAGAGAAAGGAAGGCTTGCAAACAAAGCAAAAGCGGATTGAGAAGAATAGGCAGCGGTGAGGTATATATAGTAGCAGGTAAGTGGGTGTGTGTGTGACTGCATAAGAATATTAGTTGCAGTAAAGTTCCTACCTCATGCATGCAAAACAACTTTTGATGGTATAAAAGTAATTTAGACAATGTTAACCATAAATACTTGTATATATTACTAATATGATTATAGATGTTACATACTAATACCCATGCCTAGCAATAAAAAAATGTTAAATGTGAGAATCTTTTGCAAATTGCAATAATACTAAAGGTGGTTAATAGCAGAATATAAGGAGCTTTTGGGTGGATGAAGTATCTTATTCTCCATGGGATTGATAACCGGTTATAATTTAAGGCATCCAAATGTTGGATAATTTGTGTGGTTGTAGTTGTGGCAGAGAACGAAGGAAAGAAGAATTTAGACTCAAATTGCTTTGGAGATTCTGTTCCTTTTTTTAATGGCCTTCTCAATTTGCATTATTTTATTATATTTGTCTCTAGGAGATCAAAAGAAAAGTTGGGACAAAAGTATTTCTTTCAGATTAAATCCTTTCACAAAAGGACAAGAAAATTATTCCAGTCTAATTAACCATATTGCAAAGGAAATTATTGATCAGTGTGATATTTCTAGATTTTTTTGTACATGTGAGCAGACCTCATCTTCTTTCTAACTTCTATACAGTTGATTCCTCAATATTATTCTTACGCTATAAGTTGTTATGCTTGAACTTTCTTCCTTGTGAGACCAGTAACAGACACAATGACCAACACAACAGCCTTCTAAATAGTGAATAACCAAATGAAGGAGGTTTATATAACACAAGTACACAACAGCCTTCCCTTTTTTCATTTTATTAATTGCATAAAAATTTAACCGCAAAATCATGAAAAATCTCGTCAAATTAGATAACCTGTAATAACGTCCCTCATTATTCCAGTGTGCCAACTTGTCCAAATCAGCATCTGACATCTGGCAAGATCATCATGCCACTAGCTAGGAGTGAGCAGGTAAATAAGGGGTTGTTTTGTGCATAGATCACATGCTAAATAATGGGTTGTTTTTGAATATTACAGTCCTTAAAGTAAGAATTTAAAATACCACGCTGTCGTTATAAAATGAAAAAGATGACACAAAACACTATATGCAGGAAAAATCATCTTAAAAACGAGCACAACTAATTTAAATCACATTTGTGATCCATCTTGTTCAGAAACAAAATCCTCTCGTTATATTTTCAAGTACAACAGTTTGCTTTTCATCATAATCAAAATTTTCTACCGCCTTCGACAAACCAACTAGGCCTTCCTTTGACTTTTAGTCATTGAATGTCATCCCATTAATCTTGTATCTTCACAGAAGCTTTAGTCTTTTTTCATGTACAAGCAGAACATTGACGGGGTGCGTTGGTCTCAACGACTAGGTGAAGAATACCAAGATAAAGAGGAAAATGAACAGCGCCAGCAAACCCAATATCATCATGATCTGGCCCTTTGCGCTAGCTTTCTTCATGACCATTGCCACTTTTTTCTGATATCATAAACAATAAGTCACGCTTCAGATTTAACATTAAATATTCAAAATGTCTCCACTCCCCCTTAAATTATTACTAATTAGGACAACAATTAGTCAGTCAGCTAGATCATAAACATTTTAATGAGATAACGAAAACTAGAAGCAGAAACTCACTTGGACGAAATCTAGACGATTAGATGTACTTTCCATCTCATTACCCAGTTCATCAATAATCTTTTCCTGAAACATCAAGGCTTTGACAATATTAGGATGAAATTAATCACAGAAACAAAATCAAGCATGAGAACACAGCTTCTGTTGAAGACAAGATACTCAAACGAAACACATTCACCAATGTTGCCTGTTTTCTACTTTTGAAACAAAATAGTAATCCTAAAAGGTCAGCCCAGTGCATGAGGCTCCCATCAAGTGAGGTTTGAGAGATAGAAATATGCAGTCTTAACCCCAAAAAGGGAGACACTGTTTCCTGGATTTGAACCAGTGTCGGCCGACTCACAAGGCAGCAACAAGGCTCTACCATTAAGCAAAATAGTAAGATCACAGAAGAGAAAACTTCTCAAATGTCAAATCTACCTGTGATAGGAGCTCTTCATGAATAGTAAGTCCAACACCTCCAATTCTTTGCACACTTAAACTAAGCTCGTCCAACTCCTCATCTTGTTTCCTATCAGCACCAGCAGATAAAATTTAAAGTCAAAAATATAACAGAAACCAGATGTTAGTTGTTTTCCCTGAACTCTTGAGCACTGTATTTTCAGCCTGTATCTATGTTAAGGCTACCTGCCATAGCCACAGTCTTTACTCTCCCCTATTATTCATCCTCAGAAACAAAAAAGGGAATCCATCGTTTTAGTTATGATTTTTTTATTTAATAGAATAATAGTAATAGTAGACCCAAACAACACTCAAATAACTAGCAAAGATGATATAAAAAAAAAAACAGAAATTTATAATTAGTAGAGAAACGTATGTTCATGTGTCCACAATTTCAAACAGGGGAGCCCATCTATGTCTCAGAAAGCATAGGGGAGGAGTTGACAATATAATTCAATCAACTTAGGAGGTCAAACTAATTACCAAAAATATTTTTTCCACCTTGTATGCACAAAAGTGACTGTCAATGAGACAAATATTTAACTCAATGCCATGTAAAAGAGAGAGAGGGGAAAGAAGTACTTCATAAGAAGCATCTGCCTATCTGATTCTGATTCTATAAAATCATCATTATCCCGGGCAGCATATTGGTCAGATGCAGCTTGGTAAGAATTAGGAAGCCTCATTAATTCCCTGTGCATCCCATTTAGAGTAGCATTGTTTGTTATATTTGAGCCCCCAGCTGCCGCTGCTTTCTTTGTTGTGCTCACCTAATAATATACTATAATCATTCACGAGCACCATACATATAAAGGGGGGGAAAAAGGAGAGAGAAGGGAATCTAATGTGTTCCAATAAATAAAAAAAATACTAAATAAACAATTGGCCATTAGATAGAGAAAACAATTTGACTGCATTCTCCTAACTCTTAATCAAGATCAGCATGTTATAGATACCTGGGTGCGAGCATCACTGGTCCACCTCCTCCGGCTTTCAAGCTCCACTTCATCAATGCCATACCAAGAAGGATCTCGAGAGGCTACAGAAATTGCTTTGTCCAATTCATCCACCTTTCTATCAAAAAAATCATATTTCAGCGGTTTGAATAGGTTGTAACGCAGAAGAAGAAAACATAGTCTAAGATGTGAGACGAATAGAGGCTAGACAATGGGTTTTGATTGTGGAGTTGGAAGTAACTTTCTATCTGTTTTCCACTCTCTGACTCTAAAAACCAACAAAGAGTGAAAATCAAAACATTTCCACCTTCCTCCATTTTTACACTCCTCCTTCACACACCCAGAGAGAAGGGACGAAATCATATTACTACTTATTAATGAGCTCTTATATTAAGATTTTAATTTAACAATGATATTTAGCTGAAACTTACAAAGATTTTGTATCCTCACAATAATCACTCATCACAGAGTGAATGAATCTTTTCCTTTTATGAAAGAAGAATATGTATTTGAAATATAGCAGCATATGTTAGAAGGATTTTGGACAGTTAAGTGCAAATTCCTCATTTTTCTTCCTACCGCAAAACAGTTTCCCAAAGGCTACTCCCTCCCTCTGACCTAGAAAGGACTACAATCCAAACATACCTCCAACATGTACCTAATAATATCCAAATCCCAATTCCCACAAATGATGGCAGTCGGAAGAATGAATAAAATTCATTTAAACCAAAAAATTTATAGGCCAACCAGCTTGTCACTGGTTCAGCAATTACGATTGACATACCTGCCATTCAATGCTTTCACAACTAGCAACAACTTCTTTCGAAAGACGTGATCGCTCGCCAGCCTCAGCAGTGTTTTCCCATTGGTGAAAAGCAGATTGCAACTTATCAATCTTACCAGAAAATGAAAAATTTATCAGCCAACGACAAATCACAACAAAAATCATATAGCCACTAACAAATCCCAACTTCCAGTATTTCTGCTTCAACTACAGATTCGACAGTTTAAGATCGCAATAGGGTTTCCTTCGAAATCCCACATTTGCATACAAAATGGCATACTCAGATCAATTACATAGGATATTAGCATAAAAAAAAACATCCCAATTATTAAATTTAGCTCAAAAATCAAAATTGAGAAAATGAATCACGTAAAATCCCGGATCCAATGATAGGAGTAGCAGAGAAATCGTGCAGAAAATTTAAGTGCAACGCATGATTTTTGAAAAGAAAAAAAAATAAATTAAACTTGATATTCTGAAAAGGAAACGTAGGTAATTTGGTGAAAAGTGAAAAAGTTACAGATTCTTGAATCTCCTCCTTGACAACGTAGAATGGATCTTGAGCAGAAGGCATCGTTGTTTGTTTCCAAAAGCTTCACACTAAATTGGGGAACAGTGACACACTCTGCTTTCTCTCTTCCCTTTCATTTCTTACCTTAATTTCTTCTTCTAAACAAAATATATATCTCGGAAAATAAAAATACAATTATCTTTTTTATTCATATAAATATAATAGATCCAATCATTTTTGTAGTGCTTGAGTTCATTTTAGAAACCATCTTCATTCATTTTTTATTTATCTTCCAATTTAGTTAAATTAATTTAAATCGAAATTTTAATACACTTACGAAAGAAAAAAAATGTAGGTGTAATTAATTTTCTTTAAAGATTTTTACGTAAAAGAAAATAAAAAGGTATTTTATTTTATAAATAATAAAATCACAAATAATTAATAGTTTTTTTATGATTTAAGAGTGAATTTTTTTTTATTTGTAATTATTTAATAGTGAATTTGATTTCAAGAGTGAGTTTTGTGTTTCTCCAAAGAAATCAAGTTAAAACCTATAGCCAGATTATTTAATTTTCTGAATTATTTTTATTGAAGCTTATGCCTAACCAAAGTTTTTTTAGTGGCTAATCAAACTTATTAGTTTAATTTTTAGGTAAATTGTACATATTCCACTTATCGCGCAATCATTAATTATTTTAAACTAAAAGAATTATTACATATGTTTTATATATTTTATTATAAAATAACATTTTAGATAAAAAAAAATTTAAGACTAAAGTATATATGTATTTTTTTTATTTTATCTCAAAAAATTATTATTACTGTTTTTAAAAAATGATTTCTATTTTAAAATTTTAAATGTAAGTTAATTTTGTTCTTTTTAAACAGTTACAGTATTATTTTCGATGTTAGGACAAAATTTTGATTTTTTTTTACTAATATAAGATGTGATACTTATTTTATTAAATTTACTTATATAAAAGCTATGAAACTCAAATAATATCTCATTAAAAAACCAATTAATATCTAGAGGCTAAAATTTATTTTTGGTCTTTTATTTTATTAAAAAAATTCTTTTAATTTTTATTTATTAAAAGATTTATTTTATCATTTAACTTTTAAATTTGAATTTGTGTAAGAAGCATCATAAAATTTTATTTTATATAACTAAAATTTATAATAAATAAATATTTTTAATATATAAATTATAGTACATTAAAACATATAATAAATAAATGCTTTTGAATAAATAAAATATAATTTTTAAATTTATTATTAAAAAAGTATAGCGTGGTACAAGATTATTTTTATTTATCAATAACTTCTCTTGAAAATATAAAAAATTAATTAAAAATAAAAATGAAAAATGGATCAACTAATTTAATTATTCATTTGTAGGACAAGATTAATATTTTTAAAAAAATTTACTCACTTTTCCGTGGATGAATTGGAGTGGGTAAAATTTTATCATTTCATAGTGATCACTCCGACACAAACAAGTTTATTTATATCTCATAGAAAGGGTACCTACATTTAACACTCTTCATCCTTTCTTCGCATCTGATTATTTTCATAGTTGGACAAGAGATGATCCAATTTGATTTGGCCCAAGGCTAAAGGCCCTAAATTATCAACTGCCTCTTCTGCTCAACCTTCCCCATCTAAATAGTTTTCTATCAAAATGTTTTTTTTTTTTTTTTTTTTTACAATGATAGAATAAAGTTAGAATATAGAACTTTATACGTACATGTAATTAAAACTCTTCATCAATAGGCCCACACTAATGGGTTCTTTTCTTTATTTATTTTGAAGTTAGCTATGATTGGTTTTGTAATAGAATTGTACTTTGTTTTTGTGGTACTAGGCCCCGCAGGCTTATGATTGATTGTGCATTTTAAGCTACAAGTTTTGTTCATGTATTATTATGATCTGGAGATTCCCCACGTCAAAATATATATAAATGAAATCTAGAGATTCCCCAGATAGCGAAGAAAAGTAAAAAAGAAGAATGATCCCTCCCTTCGAACATAAGGCTAAGTAGAAAGGAAAGGTTCATGCCTGAAATTTATTTCATCGTAATTTTCTATAATATTAATGCTAGTTAGGGCATGGACATATGGGATGTAACCTGTCAACTAATTTTCTCTTAAACAATGAAAAAATAATAATGCTCAGTTCAGAAATGATACATAAATGCTTTGCTCATGTAGAAGAAATTTGACTTTTCTTCCCTTTTTGTCTTATATATCCCACATTTGTAACATATCAAAATGTGTAAATAGCTCGTTATGTTTATCGTAGAATGTAATATATAGATAGTATTGAAGTGAATAGTAAATGGGAAGTCTCATGTTGAATACTGAGTTAAGACGCAGTATAAATTTGTAGTTAATTATATAATAGTTCATTCATATAGGATTATCTTTTGTATTTAATCTCCTCATATTTCAAATAATTGGTATATATTATGGTTCACAGAAAATAGTTTGACAGGGTATTATCCAATTCAAATAAGTATTGAAGAATTAATGAAATTGATGATAAATGTTTGTTTGTATATATTTGACGGTGCATGCATGTATATTACATAATTAGCATGAGTTTGAAAGCATTAGCTAGATTTCTAACTGAAGGCTTCTGATTCACGTAGTTTGGCCTACATTATATTTGGTTTGTCAGCTGCGTAAACTACACTTTTGTTTTGGTTAACATTACAAAATTGGCATGCATGGAGTTGAGTGTTATCTACGCATTTATTCACCATCGTATATTTCATTCTTCAGATACAACCCCTCCACCACCATATATCCCACCTAAACATACAAAACACATGCAACTCTCTCACTTGTATATATATTCCATAGTATAAGACACAATTGCACGTAATACAATAATATCTAACATCATGCCATTCACACTAAAACTTTTGCAGGAAAGAAAGGGATGAGGGTTAGGCCACATACACATATATTTTGGTCCAAGTTATTCATTTTTTTTAGTTTAATTTCCTGTTTAGGTTTGATCTAGAGTACTGCCGTCAGTTTCAATTACAATGATGCTAAATACATATTCAAAAACTTAGGATTTATGAATTGGGATCATACATATACATGTGAAATAATTAACAAAAAAAAAAATATTAATTATGATTAGACTTGTACCAAAACCAGTTAACTGTTATCCACATTACTGATGTCACTTTACAGCCGCCACTTAATGCTTAGGTTTTGACTAGAAGATTCTGCTCCAACGGTGGAAATCTCTGCAGATTCTTTACACAAGATTCCCACTAAATCTTGGGAGTGATTAGAGAATGTTGATTAAGCTAAGACACTAAGAATTCCCTCTGAAATTTTTTTGTTTTCTTTATTCATAGGTTGAATTAATGGTGGCTTGGCTTGGCAATGGCGCATGTGGGCCACGTCCACCTGTTCTTCAACACCAGAAACTTCCACCAACCATTTCCTTTGGTTTCAATTTACACATCCTTTTTTCAGATAAAGACTATAAATTTTGTGCCAGCAGAACAGAGATTTCCGTATGCTAATTTTCTTTCTCCTTATAGGATTTTTACTTTTTTATTTTATAGAGTGCAAATGAGTTCTAATCTTTTTATAAAATCTCATGTAGTTGTTGTGAAGAAGGAGAAAAAATGATTAGATGAAAGAGTTGAATTAAAAATGTTCAATCAAATTAAAAAATAAAAAAAAAAGATTATTAGTATATAATTCAACTTCACAAAATTAGTTTATAAGGTAGAAATTGTTCTCCAATATATTATCTTTATGTCGAAGACTAAATACCTCAAACGTAAAATTTATAAAATTAAATATCTACAAGTGATTTAATAGCCGGTGATATGATGTATTTAGCAATAATTAATAAATAAATTTTAATTTCATTTTTTATAATATGTTATGAGTCTAGCTTAATTTTATAAATTAATTTATAAGATAGAGATAGTTTCTCATTTATATACGTTAATATATAATTTCATTTCTAATTGACATAGAATCTTAAGAAAATAAAAGTTTATATTTGTACTATAAAATTTGTACTTTATTTTGAGAACAATTTTAAAATATTTTTTTATTAAGTTATGTGACTTTTTTAATGAATTCTTTTTTTTTTTTTCAAATACTATTTACTTGCATTTAATTTCATTTAAATTTAAATATTCTATATAAACTTATATATATCATTATTTTAAAAATGAATTTTAAAATTACTATAGTCCCATAGTAATTTAAACTTTAATTTTAAATTCAAAATACTTTATCGAAAACCATAATTCATTTTTATTGAATAAAATAAAATATTTATTAGTATTGATTTTTAACTCATAAATTATATTTTAAAATACTCCTATAATACACTAAAAATGTACTGGTATAAAACAGATGCATATCCTCCTTCTTAGTCGAATCATAAGCATTGTTGTGTGTGAATCATCATTCCCATGATGTGCATGTGCCCTTACCCAGAATAAAAACAAGTTAAAGAATGAACAAGATGAGGAAGAAAGAAAAAATAAAAGTGTGTAATGTGTGCATCGTATTTTATTTTTTACACAAATTCCTAGAATTTGTATTCTTGTGTTGAAAACTTTAACTCTTTTGTCTGTTTAGCTGATCTTTATCTGTTAGCCGCCCATTCAAAGGAAATAGTTGTACCACCAATTTACATTCAACTTTAAAAAAAATATTTTTTTTAATTTATAAATTTTTATTTTTAATCTTTGAACAAAATTTATTTTAATTTTGGTCATTAATTTTTGTTTACTATTAATAAAAAAAATTGACACTAAAAATAAAAATATTAAGAAGAGGAACAACCCAAGATAAAAAGTAAAAATCTGTAAAATTTTATGACAAAAATTAATAAAAATTAGTAAATAATTAAAAGTAAACATCAATAAAAATTTAAGAACTAAAAAAAATTTAAGAACTAAAAAACATGTTTAATTATTGAATGTGAGAATTTTAATCTAAATATACAGGTTACAAGTATCATTTTCCTCTGGCGACCATTATTTACCAGAGTTAATTCTCAATGCTCCACAATAATAAAATGTGATGCAGTGATGCACACTATGTTCATGGAAGATATAATGGAGAAGATAACGAGCCCTGAGTGGTGGGCATGTATTAAAAGGGCAAAGATTCCTTACTTCATGAGATTCAATAATAGTGTCCCTTTTACAATATTATAAGTACAATATTCGTGGGTGAGTTTGTATAAATATGGAAAAAATAAAGTTTAAAATATCATAAAGTTAAGAAAAAAATGTTTTATGAGTTTATAATTTATTAAAATAATTTATTGCAAATATGAATAATATATTTTTCGGTAAGTTAACAACATAAATATAATTATCAACTTTTATAATGAGAATATAGTTCTTCTTTCTGGTTCGTCCCTGGAGTATCCACTCTCAATAACAGTGACTAATCGTCGCTACTTTGGAGGCACCTCAAAGGTTGGATAGTTGTATCCCCAAGATTTAACGCGGCTGCATACACAAGACAGAATTTGAACTCCTAACCTTGCTTAAGCGTGGATCAACCTCTACTGCTGAACCACACGCTTGAGGTTAGAATATAATTAAAAAATTGATATATTAAATTTAATTTATTATAAATAATAATGCAAACAAAAAAAAATAGCAGATATTTTTGGGTAAATTTGTAATAATTACTTTTTTATATTAATAAGTTTGTAAATCTATTAATTAACATGAAAACTCGTATATTTTGAAAATATATTATAATTAATAAATGTAATACACAATAGTGTTATTTAAGTTAATTATGTGTTACATTGTTGGGCAGAGGGGTTGGATAGAAAAAGTATGAAGACTTAAGTTTAAATTTTTTTTATGTATTATTTTTGTAATGTTTTTATTTTTTAAATAAATAATATCTAATTTTAATGTGAACTTAATTTTAATAATATTTTATTGTAAATATTTAGAAATCCTTTACAAGAGACCGTCTTGTTTGAATTAAGAGGAATGTTATAGGTAACAGATATCTCACTACAATTATTCAACACAGTGACATTCTAACGCTCATATTTGAAGTTAGTAGTTAAGTTAAAACAAATTCGTGGTTTAATTTTATTTATATGATTAATATGCTTACAAAATTATATTTTTCCAAATAATTATAATAAATAATACAACACAAGCTAACAAAATAATAAAATGTGAAAATTTGAAAGTTTGATGAAAAAATATATAATATTGAAAGTTGAGTGGCAAAAATCATAAAATTATGAAATATTGGTGAAAAAAATGCAAATAAGTCTAATATTTAATAGGTCTACAATATAATATGTTTAAAAATTTAATTTATTGTTATAAATAATAATAATAGAATTATATATATAGTATATTTTTTAGATATTGAAGTTGTAATAATTCATTTTTATAATAATTTTTTAATGTTTTTTTAATATGCTTATCATGAAAAACTATGCATCTAATTAATGTATTATAATATTTATATGTATCAGTTAAATTAATTAAATATTATATTCTATTAATAATATATAACTTTTAATACTAATGTACAATGTATTTTATTTATCAAAAATTGTGTTAAATTTTTAATAAAGTTTAAATGTAATTTTAATCTCTGCCAAATAAATAAATTTTGATTTTATTTCCTGTAAAACTTATAATTATTATTTTTAGTTCATGTTATTATATAATTATTTTTACCTATTTATTTGTTTATTAAAAGGTTAGTTGACCATTTGTGATGTTACATATAACTATTAGTGATAACATGTTAGTGTATAACATTTCTAAATTTTTTTTATAAGTCTTTAAAATAAACTTTATTTATTTACTTAAAACATTGTTAAAGATAAAAAAAAAATTATATTTTAAAGGGATAAAAATAAAAATAAAAATAAAAATATTTTATAGGGATCAAAATTAAAATGAGTTTATAAGAACCATAAATATTTTACAAGGACTAAATTAAATTTTATCAATTTTAAAAGAATGAAAAAATAAATTAAAAAATTTACAAATACCATGTATTTTATCAAGACTAAAAATATATTTAAGTCATTTAATAATTATTTTTGTATAATAATAATCTTTGAACAATATTTTTATTATAAAAAAAACTATTCATATATTACATACATTGAATCGATGGTTATGAGATTTAATAATATCATTATAATTAATTATTTTTATATTTAATAAATAATATAAAAATTTAATATTAATGCAAAGTCAAATTGGCTTTTATCTGTATTTTATAATACAAAATTTTATCATGTTTTTATTCTTATAAAAAAATTAAGTTACTTTAAATTTAAAGTTATGTTTTTTAGATTAAAAATACCTAAAGTTATAAATTTTGTTTCTTTATTCCGAATCGACTGATTTTGAATTAGCGAGACTAAAGTGTATAATTTTATTTAAAAAATTACTTTAGTTGGCTTTATTTTTAAGCTAATTTTCTCCATTTTTAGATAATAAAAAGTCTATTTAATGTTTTTTTTTTTTTAAAAAAAATCGAATTGTGTTCTATCCAAGTTCCCTTTTTAGAAAAAAAATTTGACAAAATATAAGTTCCTATCATTAAATTCGGTGCAAATTATTATGTATTGAATTTGTTACTCCATCTATCAGATAATTCAGTTTTAACATTTATAAAATGTATTAAAATAAATGATATTTTTATTTTTTAATATAATATTGATTATTTTTTAAAAATTTATCTCTTTATAAATTATTCAACAACAAAAATAAAAAATAAAACATATATTGAAAGAGGGAACTATTTGAGTAAAATTGTATTAAAAATTATACATTTATTATTATTCTCAATCTATACATTATGAGATGAAGAAAATAATATAAAAATACTTTATAATAATAATATTATATCATTAATCCTTTAAACTATTAATAATAGTCTATTTGTTTATACTTTTATTTTTTCTAAAAAAAATTGAATAGAGACTAAAAGAAAAAATGTATGTATTTAGATCAAAATAAAATATTTTTAATAATCTAAGACAAAAATAAAAGTCGTGAAATTAAAAAAAAAAAAGAGTAAACAAGTAATATATTTTATGTGTTTATTTTAAAAAATTTAATATTTTTAAGAAAAACTTTTTTTGCTTTTTCCATATAATATTTTAATAATTAAAGTCTACTATCAATAACAAATTTATGCAAAAGTTGACAATCAAAATTAATCTGAATACTAACAAAAAATTAATCTTCAGAGCACCATCAGCATTATTAGATTCTATCTGTCACTTCAAAAATATTAATAAAAAAAACATATTTTTTTATAGAAAATTAGAAACACTTAATCTAGTCCAATATCACATGAGAAGAAAAAGAAATGGTATTAATGGGTTGAAATGAGGGAAAAAGGTTGTTCGAAATAAGAAAAAGTAATTGGCATGTACGTTGTGAATGTGAATGCATCCTGTTCCTGTGAGTGAGGTGACAGAGTTAAATACGTAGACATCCATCCATCATTCAGTGGACAACAAAACACTGTCTCATTCTTTCCTCTCTCTTTCTCTCCTTCTTCTCCATACTCCATATCATATCATATAATCCCTCGTTACTCTGCAACCTTTATTTTTACTCGCTCCATCAATCACACATACTCAAATTCAACCTCTTTCTTCTTTCCATATTCCAGGAATCCACCTTAGAATCAACATATTAAGTTCCCTCATTCCACCACAACAACAAACAAAAGGTGCTTCCTTTTTTCCCTTTATAAAATACCAAATATCAATTATTTTTATTTTACTTTATATTATAATCACCTCCTCTGATTCCCTTGTTTTTGCTTCTTTATTTTTTTTCTTTCTGTTTCTTGCTTAAACCACTTAAAATTCTGGTTCAATTACTTGAGATATGTTTCTTCAGATTTGTGTTGTGTGGACTATGCAGGAAGTGATATTAGTAATGGGAGATAAATATAGTCTAGGAAGACAGCACAGTGGGATATGGAAATCCTTGAGAGATGGAGATTTTGATGAAGAAGAGGTTTGGGATGTTCTCAAGAACAGAAGTGATTATTCTTCTTCTGGGGTTCGAAAGTTCAAAGAAAAGGATCAATCCTCTTCTCTTCATGTTCCTGCTAGGCCTAGTGCAGCCAGAATGATCCCGAGAGCCACCAGCAGTAGCAACAGCAGTGCTAGTTCCTCTAATGAAGCCAAGGTTCTTCAGCAATCAGCACCTGTCAACGTTCCTGATTGGTCTAAGATTTATATGATTAACCCCCCCAAGAATAGTGCTTCAAGGTTTGATGATTATGATGGTGAAGATGATGGTGATGCTGCTGCCAACTATGGTGGGGATAGTGACGAGGGTGGTGGAGATGAGAATGATGAGTATGATTCAAAGCTTCCTCCACATGAGTTTATTGCCAGAAGGCTTGGAAGGAGTCAGATATCCTCATTTTCTGTTCTAGAAGGTGCTGGGAGGACCCTCAAAGGGAGGGATCTTAGCAAAGTGAGGAATGTTGTGCTCTCAAAAACTGGTTTCCTTGAATCACTATAAAAAGGAGTCTTTTCGGTGGTAGTGTGTACTAGTGTTAGTTCTTTCACATTTGGGGTGTATAGTGGGGTTTGTTTGAAGTAAGTGGCTGCTTAGGAATGGGGATTGTGTTCATGCTTGGGGTATAAGAGAATTGTTTAGCCATTTACAATGGAAACAATGAATCAAGTTGGTTGTGGCAAACATTGCTGATTTCAATTTTCTCCTGTTATATCAAATTCATGGAGTCTGATTTGTATTTTTAAGCATCCATACAAACATAATGGTGGATGTGAATCATAATTGTAAAGCCAGATAGCATTTTGAAGGATAGAAGTGTTTTTCTTTTCTTCAGTGAGTGTGATTTTCTGTTAGTTTTTTTTTTTTCCTCTCGCTTTCCCTGTGAACAAGTCCAACTCTCCCATACTGTCTAGTGAATAAAGATTCTGTGAGGTATATCCACCTTTGGATGTGGTGGGAGAAAAGAAGAGAAGGGAGACAAATAAGAATTGTGATGAGTGAAAAGAATTAAAGGATACTAAGAAAAAAGAGGTAGAAAAGGAGTTGTAAGAAAACAGGAATGTATAAAATATCATCGTTGCTCTAAATCTTTGATGTGCGAATGACTTTTTTCCCTGTTTTTAGTGCTATTTTCCCCCCATATGAATTATATTGTATTAAGGGAAATCAAGGTCCATAGAAATATTGAATAACCTTTGCATAAGTTGGAAAATAATATTACTGATATAACTAACACAGACCACAAAGATGTAAAACAAAAAAGAACGTTTTGCAATTTCATTTAAGAGTTTAGGTGAATTATTTGTTTGTCCAAAGCTATGAGTTAAGAATTTCTCATTAATGAGGTATAAACTTGATTTAACTCATATACTTGCTTGTCAGTCCAATTGAGAAATGACAAGTATTTATAAATCTTTAAACTTACGTGACTTTTATTACCAGAACTCTGAAAGAAGGGTCTAAATTATTAAATCGTGGTGTAGGAAATTGAGAGAGACATTCACCAACTTCGTGTCATCTAATAATTATAGACTAGATCGATGTATAGTATCTTATGACGTGTGACAATGTGAGAAAGGAAGGGGAAACAGAACCACCCAGTATGTAGTAGTCTCTATCAATTTTCAGCTTTAAGCTCCATAATATTAATTTAATACAAGCTACGTATAGAGTATGCTTTTTTTAGCTTGTTTCAATTTTAAATGAGTCTTATCTTTTACCCGATCATTGTTACTACCATTTTTTTTACCTTTATTTGTCTGTTTCAAATTTTTTCACCTTGCTTCCATAATTAAATGACAAGATTTTTTTTTGTTTTAAAGGAGAAGTACATTAAGAGAGAATTATCTGTTGTGCACAATTATAGTAGAGTATGACAGTATCATCTAGGTAGCTCTTGGTTCCACTGTTATAGCACAGTCAACATATCAACTTCTTCCACCACAGGTTCAATGTTTAATTTAGTTCTCTAAATATAAACTACACAGCACTATAGGAAGAGCAAATACTAGCAACGGGCTGTTTTCTACCTATTTTTTATTACTAGATACAGTTTACATTAGTTTCATCAAAGAAATTTAAACAATTTCAGTGAGATCCAATATACGAAATTCATTCAATGATTATAACATATTCTTTATTATTGTAAAACATTCTTGTGTCCTTTGAATCAGTGCAACCTCTTTTATTGAGAAAAAGTTTTAGGCTAATGGGTTTCAGGAGTCACCAAAGTCTGTAAATCCTAAGGTTCAAAGAGCAGTTACAAAATTACTTACTAATATGGTCCTCACACCAGTAACGAGAAATCTAACTCACCAATTTATGAGATATGAATTGTTTTCGTATCAACTGAACTCATCTTTGTTGGTAATCAATGCAACCTCTTGAGATATGAGTTTTCGTATTAAAATTATAAGGGGGGAAAACCTCATACCGTGACATGTAACTCAAACTTTAATAACTGTTTTATTTATCAATTATCGCCAACATAATATTTGTTTTTCAGTAACAATAACATTTTCATTGACTTCATATCGTTTTAATGATTGCTAAGATTAAATGCGAGGTAATGGTAGGATTAGGAGTATTGTGTTGATTTGTTATAGATCAATTTGTTTCTTGCTTTCCGAATATACCACAAAATAAAGGACATATAGAGTCTGCCTGATTAATCTTTGACATATAATCCATTGTAAGGTAGCATTGTATTCTTGTCACAAACCAAACTGGTTAGGTCAGGGGACAGAAAAAATATAGTACACTCATTTGTCTCTTGGCTCCAAATGGGACACAACCTAGATAGACAACCAGCTTCTTAGCAAAAATGTTTGGTACGACCAAAATAGCATTATGGCAGAACTTCCATAGGAAAGGCCTAATCTTATATTATATGAACCTTTGCTTTTCAAATAGCCTCACAGATTCCCTCTGGGGTACCCTGTGAAGTGGAGGACATCTATCCTCTCATTCCACATGATTGTTTAACAACATGATAGCTTCTCTTAACTAAATAACCCAAACTTAGAATGGGGTCAAATGGCCCTTATTCATGTATCCTTAGTAGCAATATTTACCTTACTCCCATTTATTATGGTCCAATCAATGGCCCTACTTAACAAACTCCTAGCCTTGAAGAACACTCTATGAAACACATGAAGCACCTCTAGTTCTCTTGGATTCTAAAATTTAGGAATATAGTGTACACAGTTTGGGACCTACACCTATAATGAATTTGGGTCACTCTAAGCCCACCAAGCCTACTTTGCTAGATGAGTGGTGTTTATATATACAAAATCCTTGAATCCTACCCCTCCTTTTTTCACTAAAGGACAAGATCTCCTAACTCTTCTAGTGCAATCATCCTTCCCTACCCTTATTCCTCCACCTGAACCTAGCTACAGAGGAATTTACAAAGGTATTGCACAAGAGGGAATCACTTTGAAAGACAACCTTGATTTACAGTTTCCTCTTCTGCATAAGCCTTCTAGTTTGGCTAGTAACCTATCCTTGATCCACTTAAGAGTGTTGTTTCTAGATCTGCCCCTCTCTGTTGGGGGGCCAAGGTAATTTACCAACATTGTCCCAAGACTCTATTACAAAGATACTAATAATAATTCTCTCTTTTAGTAGCAGTGGAATATATTTGGCAAAGATTAATCTAGACTTTGCTAAGTTAATCCTTTGACCCAAGTGAGATGAATAAAAATATATAATATTTTCATATGGAAGGTGGAAAAGAGTTGGGCCAGAAGGGCCCCCCCAATAAATCTCCATCTGTGAAAGCTTTCTAAAATGAGTAAATTATCAATTTCATCCTTAAAATAAATTGCCTCTTAAAAGAACTACTTAAGTAGTCCATGAAAAATCAGAAATTGTGTTAAGTAGTTCTCCAAATATTAAAAAACTCTTTAAATTGGTTCCTAAATTTTACTAAAATACATCAACTTAAGAACTAAAGTGATGATTATCGGTACTTCAAAGATTATTACTTTATGAATTACTTATACTTTGAAGAAGAGATTAATAATTCATTCTTTCTAAAATAGTTGAGAGAGGGCACCTGCGGCAAGAATGATGCAAGGGGTCTCCTTGCCTAGGGCTCCATAAGATGGCTATTGAACCCATTCAGATTGTATATATTAAACTAAATATTATTAGATTTTGGATTTCTTTTCTATGCAGACAACAAATCTAAAATGTGTAACCCCAAGCGTGTGGTTCAGCGGTAGGGGTTGATCCACGCTTAAGCAAGGTCAGGGGTTCGAATTCTGCCTTGTGTATGCAGCCGCGTTAAATCTTGGGGTCAGCTATCCCACCCTTTGAGGTGTCTCCAACGTAACGAGGAGATTAGTCACTGCTGTCGGCGGTGGATACTCCAGGAACGAACCTAAAAATCTAAGATGTGTAAGTTTATTGTGTCTCACTTAACCAAGTGGATAGGTCAGTTTAAGATAAAGAGAGTGACTCATTTTAAATGAAAATAATAGCAAGATACATAGAAAAGAGAAGAGAAAAAGTTTCCTTATTTAGGTAACATATCCATGTGATAGCATTTATTACTAGAAATTCGTTCATTATTGGCTCAGACTAATTTTAGACTGCATATTTATATAACGTGATGTTTCGTATTCAAAGACTAAATCATTAAAAGGAAGTCTCGAGTGAGAGAAAGTAACAACTTTATTTTTAGACTATTCATCTTATTTTTTTAATTGTAAGTAATTGTGATTGATTTTACTTTGATTGATTATAATCATTATTTTTGGTGTACTCTTTGGAGACTCTTGCAGTGTTTTAAAAATCGGATCGAACCGGCCGGTTGGACCAGGAATCGGTGGTCCAGCCGGTCCGAATCTTAAGTTAGATCAGTTATGCAGTCGACCTATTTCAAACCGGATAAAACCGGTTAATTTTCTGGTTTAACCGGTGAACCAGTGGATCAAACCGGTTCAACCACACTTTTTTTTTTTAAGGAACCATAAACCACAAAAATAATAATGAAAATTGAATCTCTTAATGGAAGAGCAAAGAGTCTTATTAAATATAACAATGACTACTTGTTCTAATGTATTTGTTTGTAATATATACAACTTAAATAACTTTTTATAGTATATTATTAATTTTAAATTATATATTTAATAATATAATATCTATGTAGATATTACATATATTATTTTGTGATATCAATTGCAAGCATATTATATATGTACATATTATTTATATTTTTAATTTGTATTAATATACAGTTTAACATGTAATTTTTTAATATATTTTTTTACAAAATAAAAATAAAAATATTTTTAAATAAAATAGAAAAATTGAAATTTAAGATAAGATATGAATTTATTAAAATTTATAAGTATAAAATATATTTAACATGAATATTTTTTTAAAAAAATAATAATAATCGAGTCATGTGGTTCAACTAGTGACCCACCGGTTCAACCTTTAACCCACTGACCCAGTACCTTAACCGGTTTGATGACCGGTCCGATTTTTAAAACTATGCTCTCTTGTACCTTTTTTTTTTTAATCATAGTGGAATTTTTCTTTGGTATGAATAATTTTTTATTTTTAACCTTATATTGAAAGATTTTTCATGTTAAAAATATTTGTGTCTCTTATATATTTGAACTATCTTATGTGATGGTGTTTTTATAAATTTTTTTCAACGAGAGGATTTGTAAAAAAAAATTTAAACTTTTTTTATCTAATTCAATTTTTATTTATCATAATTATTTATAAATTAAATATCAATATTTTAAATATAATCTATATATAATTTATTATAAATTTTAATTATATATAATAAATATATTTATGCATTACACATACTAAAATACTATTTATAAATTGTTCTTACCGGAATTTGGCCGTAGGGATGGTCTGCCCAGTAAGATCAGTGAGCCTCCTTTGCTTGATGTGTTGGTGCTCCAAGATGGGGGAGGTACCTGCAAAAGAGACTCCGATGCCAAAGTTAGGGTTTGTATGAGTATGAGTCTCGTATATATAATGCACATACCTTTGTGTGAGTTAGGGTTGTCTTGGGCCTGAGATAAGATATGATATGATACGATATCATATAATA